GTTTATGAGAAAAACAAATTACAGGGTACCCCATAATAATACGGATACATAACTGCGTACGTTTTACGCGCTCGGCCATAATGGCCATAAGATCGTTTTATTTTATTATTATTATTTTTTACTTAAACTTTCGCGCGATTAAATGATCGATCAACAAGCCCATAAACATGTTTAACGAATCAGGGGCGTATTTTAGGGAAGGGTGAAGGAGGAAATCCCCCCCCTGAATCCGTATTTAAGGATCGATCATATTTGAGATACACATTTCAAATTTTTTAATGTGGATCATTTTATAACGATACTTAGTGTCCATATTTAGTGAAAAATCAAATAAAACACAAGCGTAACTTTCAAAACACAGACATGTGTTAAAAAAGAACTACACAATAGTCGATTCTAAGTGGATCCGGCATTAGTTTAAAAAAAAAAAAAACCGTAAATATTAAGGATTCTCTTGATTTGAAATATTACCAACAATTTTACTTGTACATTTTGAGCCTGAATTAAAGAAAACATTTGAATCACCCCCCCCCTCCCTCCCTAGAAGTAAGATTAAAGACGCACCTGTAACGACCCCCGTTTAGCGTACCGATGTTAATCTACTCTCGCAGTAGTTATCATTTTACACGCAAATAGCAATCATAATGTAAATCGTTACTTTTGGTCGTACGCTCGAAAACCACGTACGATTCTCGGTTGCAAAAATTATTATTATTTTTATTCTTATTCGATATAAATCAGTTCAATTATATTACGGTCGTTGAGGTTTAAAATTATAATATTTTGTCGCTACAAATAGTAAAGAGCCGCTTTTACCTGTATTAGGTATCGGCCGCTATATACTCATCACCTACTTCTTTTATTCGTGTTCTTCCCCTCCGTTTATTTTAACGACAGCGCACTACTACTCGAAAACCAGCAATAATAAAAATAAATAAAACGCATCACAAAACTCCGTTATTGTTTGCAGTGCAATATCTAATAATATAGTAGAAACCCGTACAATGTGCATTATATCAAAAGACGAGTGGGAATGACATTGACCGAGTCGAACAATGCGGACGGGACGAAAGAACGTTTTCGAATTAGCCGGTGGGTTTTGTCACTCGCGAAACTCATCTGAACGCAATTACCAATCGATACGATTGGGTTTTCCTTTTTCTGTTTGTTCTGCGTTCGCCCGACGGGTCTTATTGTGTTACGTTTTCATCATTATTATTTCTTAGATTTACTCCGAAGTGAAAACGGTCTAACTGATGTTATTCGTAAGCGCACGACGACGACGACGACGACGGTTCGTGTTTGAACGGTCGACCCGATCCGGAAAACCACACGCGTTGCGTTACAGCAGCGGGTGCCGAGGACGGTCATGAGATGAGACGATTTTTCGAGACTTTCACCGGAGTAGGCGTTTAACTCATCTCGTGTGTGTGTGCAATACGGTTTGTGTACGAGATCTCTCGCGGGGACCGGACCGAAACCGTCGCGCGTTGTTCGCTGGCAGTCGAGACGACGGCCGACGATCGCGATTGAATTCGATCAACGGTCGTATCACCTCGATGGGCGTATTTCTGTGATATGCATATGCATGAGCAGCGCTTTTTCGTCGATCGTCCGACACCGGTTTCGAGTTCGATCCGAGCGCACGACTAGATCACTCGCTGCGTACCATACGAAACAGGATGTTCGTCCTACCGGTGAAAGTCTAACCGTGAATATTGAACAGGTGTTACACGAGCGCGTATGCGGACATATTTCAAAACGCAGGCGTGACTTTTCTGGCGATTTCTGGGACGCGTATCGAACGTTGTCGTCCGTAGATGTGTCATGATCGTGTTTCGACATTTTTCGCGCACGCTTTTTTTTTTTTTTTTCATCCGGAATTTGTCGTCAAACTAGTTTCACGAGAACCGTCCGCGGTCCGGACGGTTATAATTATCTATTTTCCCGTCCAACGCCCGTTATGTTTCGTGCTCCCGAGAACGTTCGCATACGAAAACGTCGACCGTCCGCCGGCTGCAGAGACCCCGTCGGCATGATCGATGTTTTCGGACGAGTCTGTCTGTCGCGGTACGCGCCGCGATAAATAATCGAGTGCACGCCCCGGGCACCGCCGATGCGTCCGAAAAACACCTACAACGGTCCGGGGGTGCATATAATTTAGATGATTACGATGTGATTACGATATAATTACGATGATTTCCCCGGTCAACGTTGGTAATCGAGGACGGACAGGGGGGGGGGGAGACACGTGTCTTGCATACGACGTTCCCGCGTGTGGTTCTAACACGTCGTCTTTCCGATCCGACGACGCAACGTCCCGACCGCTTTTGAACGATAATAACCGCATGAGTCCGGCTTTACGCACGGGACTTGTGATGTAAACGACCTATCGTAAAACGGATTTTTTCCATACCCACCGAGCCACGAGCGCGTTTACAACCGTTTAACGATTTTAACGGAGTTTTGAAACGCGATTCGGCTGTATCACTGAAACTAGTTATTGCGTTCATCAAACAGTTAACCGTGCAATTTGTCGAGCCATGAGATGGTACAGAAATTGCAATAATTATCATTACCGTTCATATTACATCCGTGTGACGACTAACGTGTGTGCGCCCAATAATATTTAAGCACATTACAAGACACATTTTATCGTGCACGAATATTTCGGTGTAATGGTCCAAACCGATCGTCACTGTTTTACGACCGGCTTTAAAAAATAATGTAACATTTTAATCGAAACGTTTTCCCCTCGAAACCGGCAACGATCATACATCTCGACGGGTTGCTTTTTGAACCGTTTTTGCACGTGTAGCTATTCACTTCAGTAATACGTATGATTAACGCTACACAAGTCGAGAGACGTTATTTAGAGCGTAAAATACGGAAGTGGATTGGACATGTTATGAACCTTCCGTGTATGAAGATTTTTCTTAAACGATACGCATCTTAGTTATTCTGAAACAAAATTTCAACCAAAGCGAACATAATATTATTATTAAACAACGAAATCCATCGCGCTTATATTATTCTTTTCTCGGTGTTCGAGTGCCAGGATAATTGTGTTCTAAATAATCGTACGAACGGTATCAAACGAATGAATAGTAAAATAAAACAAAAATTTTATTTAATCCGAAAAACAATCGCGTACGGATCATATAAATATTATTAATGATGAATATATATGCATTATGCAGAAAAATAAATGAAGCGGATAAAAGTGCATATCATAGTCAATGTCGTTTATTTGCGTTTTTAGATTACGGTCGCATAAGTGCATACTTGTTAAATATTTAAATATTAGTGTTTAAATATTTTTTCTGTATTTCAAATATATTTCAAATACTTATAAATAGCACGGCGACATCCCGAATCCCAGTACCTGACATACTCACATACTTCGACACTCGTTGTTCGTTAATCATCGTTAGAATCAACTTATTAAATTAATCACTAGTCACCATTCACTAGAAATCAGTGTAATTTTGTCGTAATGTTTTAAGTTTTTTTTATTTTATACACCCTGAACAGTATAATTATATTGACTTAGTGGTTTCAAATAAAACAAACACAATACAACAAAAATCTCTAGATGTATCGCTTTAAAACGATTTATTTGTAATACACATGTCATTTCCATTAATTGACGAGTCGATTGAATGTACGTTCTACGTAAAAGTATAAGACGAAACAAATATTTAACTGTGGGAAACAATTCGCTGTCACGCGGATGACTGTGTACAATATTTCGAACTCTTAAATCGTCGACTGCTTGAAATGCCACGGGAGTCAAACGATTAATTCGTTAGTCAAGCATTAGGCGGATAGGCGAGTGCGAATCCGAATCGATCACGTACACTAATGAACGAACGCGAACAATAACCGACAGATCGCATCGACGTGTCAACAACATTGATGCTTATTAAAATCAACGTTTTAAGCAAACCGTTCCTGCCCGTCCATCAACGGCGGTCGTTTTCGACGGTCCGATCGCGATCTCCGGACGTTTCCACCGCCGTCTTACACGCGTTTTCCGATGGACGGGTTAGAGCGCACATGGCGCGCGGGTTTGTTGTGTTGCGCGTCATCGCGATCGGTGTTTAAGGTTAATGCCACTGCCGAGGGTATACATCATTTCCATAACGAGTGTTTTTATATTATTGTCGTACCTGATCCGCATGTAGGTCGACTAGTTCTGAACGCGTTTTGCCGGCGCGCGTGCACAGGGAACCGGTTGTATGAATACGTAAAGTTTGAGATCGAGATCGACCGACAAATAAATTAATTAAACCGGGTCACGTGCGTATCCGTCATTGCACGAAAGTTTTTCCGACCGACGACCTTAGCCCTCGGACAAGAGTTGCTCGTCGAGATCTGGTCAAGTGTGCGCGTTTCCGTTCGCTCGGCATTCCGACCAGTTTTTGTTTTTAACACGTTTTCATTCATTCCGGTTCACACGTGCACGTGCATGTGTACGTCCGCGTGCGGCGGTGGAAATAGAAACCTCGTTCGATGTCCCGGAATCCCGTTTAGGAACCAGTAGATAACCGGCAACAATGATTGATAATTAAAGTAAAACCGTTTTGTTTTCTAACAGGCAGAGGTCATCACAAGAAGAAGAAGATCCAAAAGGAGATCAAGAAGTTCGTGCTGAAGGTGCTGTTCGGTATCTACCTGTTCAAGCAGAAAATCAAAATGATCCTCATGTCAATCCAATCGATCCTGATGAGCAAGTTCTTGGTGGTGGCCATGATCTACGCGCTGTCCAACACGTTCAAGATCTGGTACGACATCAAGTCCAGCAAACACCACCACCACGACAAGGTGGTGTACTACGAGAATGCTCATCACCAGCACCACTACGAGCCGCCGGAGCACACCGAATACGACGACCACCACGAGCACCACGGGTGGGACAGCGGCAGTATCTGGGGCCGAAGCATCGTGGCCACTGAGCCATCGTCGAAGGACCCATCCGGGTCGCGGAACGGTATCAGCCGTTACATCAGGCGCGTGACCAGGACAGCGACTCGGCAGCCGTCCGTTACGGCACAGACCATGGCGTTCGGAGCCCAAAAGCCGGCCCAGCAATGAGCCCTAATCCCTCCCCCTCTCGTAACATCGTTCCAAACCGTTTCATCGTCACGTTTCCCGTGCAAATTTCTTTTTTCACATTAGTAATAATATGCTCGTGCGCGAACCAATGCCTAGGGCCGTACATATTATACACGTTATCGGAGGGGCGGGTCCTAGATCGCAAAACGTTCTTTGCGCATATCACTCTAACAATATTGGTCTTGCCACGACACGTTCCTGCGCCAGACCGAAAAATATATTTATTTTTTTTTTATACACGTACACGCACGCATACGAATATATAATTTTTTATATATCTACGCATACGTTGCTCTTTTATTGTTTATCCGGGACCGCGTGGTACGTGACCGTTCTCCTCGATAACATAAGATTAAGATCGTAGTTCAACAACTTATTTAGTCTGGTCAGTTAGATAATATTTATACTTAATAGTTAATTTTTATACTTAGCGTTATTGTATAGTAGTGCACGAGACTTTTTTTTTTTTCGATTAAACTATCATATTAGATAAAACTCATCATGTGTACTGCGCGACACTGAATTAGACCGATGTTACGCAAAACGGTAATCGATTATCGTTTTGTGCGGCAATCGTCGCACGTACACATTTAACTTTATTATTATTATTATTATTATTATTATTAGCTACCGGTACGTTTGTACGCACCGTAATCATCCGGCCTAAGAAATTGCTCAACATATTTGGTTCGCATTCGGTACCAATTTCGTACGACGATAACGGTCGAATGGACACGAAATTTTCTTTTCGATTCATATTGGAGCCGCGTAATATATTTTGTATGCGATGAACCGAACATTTTTCGTGGATAGTATTCGAAATGTAAATCACTATTTAAAATAACCGCACAACGCATATTTCATTGATGTATTTATTTATTTATTTATTTATTTATTTATTTATTTTAATTTATTGACATAATACTATTTATTATATTATTATACTTTTTGAAATAAAAGTTTTTCATCTGAATGATTTTATTAATTATTTCATCATACAAATGCATTACTACATATTATTTGGTACATCAATGCAGTCATGTATATAAAAGAAACGAAGTTGATAACAATTTTATAATTCACAAGTAAAACGGAATGAAACTATAAAAGAAAAAAAAATACAATCAATTATATAGTTTTTACTATACTAATACCGTTATGTTTGGGCAATAAAATATGGTTGTATTATGTGTGTCCCATTCAAATGCAAACTTATCTAATTGGATTAAGGGACTTTGACCTTCTATTCATGGTTACTATAGTCACTATACTATAGTATAGTGACTTTCCGTCCGTTAGTTATTTATTTTGCACTTACCTCCGAGCTCAAAAATTACTGATTTCCATGTAAAACATAACTCTAATTCTGTAATTAATATAACAAATTACGTAAGTAGGAGTATATCGAGTATATGTTCAGTTATTATCGATTAAAAATGATAAGTAATTAAATATATTGTAACACATAAATCGTTAATGTTATAGTGATTGAGTAATTTGCACAAGATAAGGATAAGCGAATAAAAATTACGTACGAGTATTATTCTTCGACAAGGAACAAAAAAATATTAAATATATATTACAGTTATGATAGAATTTATAACATTTAAGTTTAGTTAAAATATAAATATAATAAAAATATTTTTTCGTTTATTGATTATACTCGATTAGATAATATACATTTTAATAGTAAAAGCGTCAATAAATCTTCTAGTTCTGTTTGAATAAATAAATTATAAAATTACTCAAAAGTTGTTTCAATGATAAACAAATTGTTTACGCGCGAACGTGATTTTAATCACTCGAGAAACTTTAAACGTGCGATCAAAATGATTTATTTGTGTACAGTAAAATTTCAATTTAATCAATTGATAGTAGTGCATCAACTTAAATAGTTGATTCAGAACTAAAAAAATAAGAAATTATTTACTATGAAGTATTATTGAAAATTAACACTATTTAAAATTGAATACAATAAAAAGTAAAAAAAAAAAAAAAAAATCTAGTAGGATATTAACTAATTTAGGTGGATAAATGTTGTAACATTTTGAATTCGTCAACCGCACAGCCATTAAATATTTTAAGTTCAAAGAGATAAAGTTAGAAAAAAATTATAAATATATATACCTATACATTATAATCTTACTTTGCAGTTTGTCAAATGTGTCAATCAAATCGTTCAATAAAGTTCAATAATCAATCGAAACTCCTAGTTCAAATATTTAATGCATCTTTGAATTTGTTTTGTTTAAAATTCAACTAATTTTCCATATTAATCTATTTAAATCATAATTTATTTTACCTGTTATCAGAATATATTCAAAGAGAAAGTACGATTTATTACAATTTTTCTTGACGATTGGATAACTGTGAACTTGAAAATATATTACAGCTTTGCTAGAACAATTGTACTTAACCTTACTAAAGCAAGTTCAACGTTATACATTTTTTCAAATGGTTATAATTATATAATTATAACACAGAAAATGATTCCAATCATTTTATTTAGCACGCTCGTTAAATTTTATATTGCCTTTCACATGATGTCTTTTTATCTTCACCTTTGTCATCATCATCATCATCTAAACCCAAATCTTTGTAGCGTTCGCTCATTATCTATATATATAAAAATAAGTGTAGATTTTGAATACATTTTATAACTCAAGATCCACCAAACCATATATATATAAATAAATATGTCAGGGCATATTAAAATTGATATTTAGATGGTTTCTGTGAAGTTTGTACGCTGTGTGATAAGTGTTTTCGGAGTTATGGCTTCTTAAGTGTACACCTGGTGACATGGCAAAAAACAACAACAAAATGTATGAAAAATGAAAAAACGTCTATATCTCGTAAACGGCTGTTCCAATCGCAAAAATACCTGAAATTTTTGCACGGGCATCTATACGTGGCCTGTTCAAGAGTTGGCACTTTATATTGTTTATTTGTGTATGCCCCAAATGGACAAACAAAGAATATTGTTTACCCAAATGTGTTGGATTGATAATAAAGAATTTGGAAAAAAATTAATGATATTCTAGAAAAAATTATATGATTTTTATTTGATTTTTTGTATCGATGCTGCAAAGCGCACCGAAGTCAGCTATAAATTATTATAACACTAACTGAACAACCTACGTGCTAGTACTCTTGATACCCGGGTACCCGGGTTTTACGGGTATTACCCCATGAACAAAATTTCGGGTACCCGTTATGGTTTGTATACTCATTACTAGAGCTGAGATTTGTATGTAAATACATATTTTTTTCTAAGACATGATAAATTACGTTATCTTTTTTTTTTTCGTTGCAAAGATAAATAACTGCTATAAATAGATATTATTTTATACAACTTTTTACAATTTACTGTTAACTTATACATTACAATAAATTAGTAGCTATAGGAATATAAAAACAGCATAGTTAATAAAACTTTTCAAACATCTATTAATATAATTATTCAATTATTATAATTTTTGTATAGTATATTAAATAAAATAAACTAATTATTGAAGTATAATATCAATAATAACACTCACATAAAATACTAAAAATTTTATTTTTAAAACGTAATTTTGTTCATTTAAAAGAGGAAATATTTTAATATTTTTTATTTGAATAATTGTGTAATGTATAATTTAATACTGATTACCTCTTAGTAGTTAAGACTTAGTTAAACCGTTTACGTATATCAAAAACCATCAGGTACCCGAAAATGTTGGGTAATGGGTACCCATTACCCGAAAACATTGACTACCCACAAAATCGGGTAATACCCGGATAAATGGTTACCCAGGTACCCAGGTATTAACCACATATAATCAAGAGTTCTATTATGTGCTATTATTTTCGTTTGAAAATTCACGTCGTTTATTTAAGGAATGTTGCTAGGGGACGGAAAAAAGAAAGAAGGTAAATAATAAACATCTGATTTAAGAATTTAATTTAGAGAAAGCAACAGTGGTGTATCCAGAATGACTTTAAGGGGTGGTTATAGGAATAAAAATATATCTACAACATAATATTATATGTATTATATTATATTTATATGTACATTTTAAAATTTATTTCATAACATTATTGATTAAATATTATATTGTCATTCTTATAATAATAAAAAATAATATACCTCCTCGTATTTACAATATTAAAGTTAATAATAACCATTATTTAATTAACCTATCAAAATAAATTTCAGTTTTTAATTATAAAATTAAAATAATTTTTCTTTTTTTTTGCTAATTCGTTAAAAATAATATCGTATTATAGAGAACATTATTACCTATATATAATATTACATTTTCATATTTAGATACTTGGTTAATATTAAACGCAACTGATCTATTGATATTGATCGTAATAAAACGCAAGCAATTATAACAAAAATAACATTAAAAAAAAAGCCCAAGGAGGGGGTTTGAACCTCCAAAACTACACCCATGGATACGCCACTGGAAAGCAATAACTACACATGAGCGAAGCCGGGTTATTCAGCTAGTACTGTATATGTACGGCATTAGACTTGTTAATTTCGCGGTTGTCATTTGGATTCGTCAAATGTTTTTTTCCTGAAGGGCAGACAAATTGATAAGTCAGAATTTTATCTGACAACAGTAACTCACTTCGTTTGGCGATGGAACTTTATTGTCCCTGTTAATGAGTTGTACTGCTCTGATAATTCTTACGATATCCAAACTCAGGTCATTAAATGCATCTAAAACTACTGCTGCTCTTATTAATTCCTTAAATAAAACACAAAGTAATGTTGTTAGAACACTTACAGATACCGATGCAATGTCAAGGCTGTTTGCAAACATTTATGGCTGAGATCATTCCAAACACTTATCGTTTTACACACGTGACTTCACCATCCATTCATTATATATAAATATAATAACAAAACAATTGTTAGATATCGGTGATGGGAAAGTTACTACACATGAATAAATGATGAATTACAAAGTGAAAATATATTATTATCGTGAATCCCTATTATACTCACAGATATGCCAATACAATTAAAACGCCTTCAATTTCCAATTAGATTGGCATTTGCAATGACTATCAATAAGTATCAATGCCAAAAGATGTCTATCTGTGGCTTAAATTTGAACACATCATGTTTTTCACACGGACAGTTTTACGTAGCGTGCTCTCGAACCATCTAGTTTGTTTGTGTTGATGAAAGATGGAATAACAAAAAATATTATACTCTCTGTTACATTAAGGAATTGTTTTTACTATTTATTTAATTTTGTTTTTTACTAATATTGTCATAATTAGCGATATATATATATATATAATCCTAAAGGATCAATTTTAATAAATTATTAAAAAAA